GAGCACAATAATAGTAAGTCATATGGAGGTGTTCTTAAAAAAAGAATTGGGTCATTTTGCGGCCCAAATAGTGAGGATTTCGTTCCTAAAGAAGTGGCCCAAGATTCAATGGAGGGAATAAGCCCAAGCTCTATGGGAAGGAAGGGTATTAGTGGGAATAAGGCAGAGTGTTCTGATCAAAGAAACGGTGAAAAAAGGGGCTGTTCGGGGAGTTGCTCGGGGAGTGACGAGGGGAGCGTTGGCGATGGGGGGCAGGGGCGCGCAGCCGGAAATCAGATGAAAAGGAAGATGAGGCTGAGATCTTGCAGATCTGTATACCTGCAGGAAGCATCGGTGCAGAGGAAGCAGTGCAGGAACAAGGGGCAGGGTCGTCGGAGCAAGAAGCCAACGGGGGGGCAGGTGCTGCCAATTTTTATTGCCAGCCCAAACGGAGAAATAGCAGGTGATTCTGTAGGGGATAGTGGGATACAAAATTGTAACAAATCCATAAAGAGGAAGATGCAGAGGAAGCTTGCAAAGGAGATTTGGGAGCTAGCCAAGCACCTAGGAGCTACGGCTGAGTGTGATGAAGAGGTGATCTGCAGAATTGACGAAATGGAGAAAAGAGATAACCAAGCCAAAGCTAATATGGAGAAGAAGGAAGCAGGAGGCACGAAGAAGGTTTGTATAGATTCTAACGATATTGTTATCTTTTAACATTAGAGGCTTAGGAGGGGTTGAGAAAAGAAGACAGATTAGGGATATAGTTTTGAGGGAGAAGATAGAATTTTTAGCTGTACAAGAAACTAAATTGGAAGTTGTGGATAGGAAGCTGTGCAAGAGGGTGTGGGGGACGGAGGATTTTGACTGGATTGCCAAGCCATCTAAGGGGTTGTCGGGTGGTTTGCTGTGTTTGTGGAATAATAAAATTTTTAAAAAGAAAGAGGTGATAGAGGGGGATCATTTCATTGGGGTGTTTGGGACATGGGGAGAAGAGAGTGTTCCGGTTCATATATTAAACATTTATTCTCCATGTGATTTGTCTGGAAAGAGAGCCCTGTGGGTGGAGCTACAGAATTTGATCACAAATAGGAATGGCAACTGGTGTCTAGGGGGGGACTTCAATGCTGTCCGGAGCTCAGGGGAGAGGGCAGGGTGCAATGGGATGTCCAGAGAAATGAAAGATTTTGATAGTTTTATCATCGAATCTGGGTTGGTTGATTTGCCTATGGTAGGGAGGAAGTACACCTGGTACAATGCTAATGGCCAACAAATGAGTAGGATTGATAGATTCCTGGTTTCAGAGGAGTGGCTTTTGAGATGGTGCGATGTGAAACAGTGGGGGTTGAAAAGAACAGTTTCAGATCACTGCCCTATTTTATTGAAGAACGAGTGGGTGGATCGGGGCCCAAAGCCGTTCAAGTTTTTTGATGCTTGGCTGCAGGATCCTGGGTGCAAGGAGCTGATTAGAAAAACATGGAACTCTACGGCAGTGGAGGGATGGTATGGATTCAAACTAAAGGAGAAGCTAAAGAGTACAAAGAAAGCTTTAAAGGAATGGAGCAAAAACGCAGCGTCAGAGGTGGATAGGAAAATAGCTGAGGCTGAGAGTGAGATAGCTTATCTTGATGAAAGAGGAGAGAATGTCCAACTGCTACCAACCGAAATTGAAAGGAGGAGAAGTAGTTTTCTTGAACTGTGGAAGAACCTCAAATTAAAAGAGAACATGTGGCAGCAAAAATCAAGATTGATGTGGTTGAAAGAAGGTGATGCAAACACTAAGTTTTTTCATAGGTGTGTGAAGGGAAGATGGAGGAAAAACGAAATCAACAGCATCAAGATTAATGGTGAACAGCATAAGGGCGTGGGTGAAATTAAAGAAAAAATGGCGAGTTATTTTGAACAGCTTTTCTCAAAAGATAGGTGGCAGAGACCCAAGCTAGAGGGCATTACCTTCCGACAGATTGACGGGGCAGACAATGAATCCCTTATGGCATCATTCTCTGAAGAAGAGATCAAAAATGCTGTTTGGGATTGTGAGTCGTCTAAGTCTCCAGGCCCGGATGGATTTAACTTCAAATTTGTGAAGTGTATGTGGGAAGATAAAAAGACGGAGATTGCAGGTTTTGTTAGAGAGTTCCAGGAACAAGGTAGGATTGTAAGAGGTTCAAATGCTTCCTTCATAACCCTAATTCCGAAGGTAGAAAACCCCCAAAAAATTGAGGAATATAGACCCATTTCACTTATCGGAGTTATGTACAAGATTATCGCGAAGCTGCTAGCAAATCGCCTTCGGAAAGTGTTGGACAAAGTTATCGGGGAGCAACAAATGGCATTTATCGAAGGTAGACAGCTGGTTGACGGTGTGGTTATTGCCAATGAAGCGATTGATGAGGCGAAGAGGAAAAAGAAGAGAAGCTTCCTTCTCAAGGTTGATTTTGAAAAGGCATACGATAACGTGAGCTAGGACTTTTTAGACTATATGCTGATGAGGATGGGCTTCTGCAAGACTTGGAGAATGTGGATACATGAGTGTCTACAATCTAGCATGGTCTCAGTTTTGGTCAATGGAAGCCCTTCTAGACAATTCCCAGTAAGCAAGGGACTCCGCCAAGGAGACCCGCTTTCACCCTTCTTATTCCTGATAGTAGCAGAAGGTTTGAATGGTTTAATGTCTTCTGCAGTTGAAAAAGAGCTATATAAGGGTGTGACAGTTGGTAAGGATGCGGTAATGGTTACCCACCTTCAATTCGCAGACGACGCCATCTTTTTTGGGGAAGCAACAGAAGATAACATCATGGTGATTAAAAGCATAATGAGGACTTTTGAGCTGATCTCCGGACTGAAAATTAATCTACAAAAGAGCCAACTAATGGGCATCAGTGTTGAAGACAGCTGGGGAAGCGAAATGGCCTATAGATTATGCTGCAAAAAAGGGGAATTTCCATTGAAATACCTGGGAATCCCCATTGGGGGAAGCCATAGAAGGCTTTCATTGTGGCAGCCCTTGTTGGAGTCTTTTAAAAAGAAGTTGACAAGCTGGAAGGGTCGGCAACTTCTCTTGGGGGTCGAATTACGCTCCTTAACTCGGTGCTGTCCAGTTTGCCTGTATTCTTAATGTTGGTATACCTTCTTCCAAAAGGTACTCTCAAAGCCATTGACAAAATTCG